CTAATAGGGTGGTAGAATGATTCTCTAGGGTATCTGGTCCTTCAGGTCTCTAATAGGGTGGTAGAATGATTCTCTAGGGTATCTGGTCCTTCAGGTCTCTAATAGGGTGATAGAATGATTCTATAGGGTATCTGGTCCTTCAGGTCTCTAATAGGGTGATAGAATGATTCTATAGGGTATCTGGTCCTTCAGGTCTCTAATAGGGTGATAGAATTATTCTATAGGGTATCTGGTCCTTCAGGTCTCTAATAGGGTGATAGAATTATTCTATAGGGTATCTGGTCCTTCAGGTCTCTAATAGGGTGATAGAATGATTCTATAGGGTATCTGGTCCTTCAGGTCTCTAATAGGGTGGTAGAATGATTCTATAGGGTATCTGGTCCTTCAGGTCTCTAATAGGGTGGTAGAATGATTCTCTAGGGTATCTGGTCCTTCAGGTCTCTAATAGGGTGATAGAATGATTCTATAGGGTATCTGGTCCTTCAGGTCTCTAATAGGGTGTGTAACATTGGTTGGGCTGAAAATGGCATATTAGCTGTTCTATGAGCCCTAATGCAGCCTGGTTAAAAGCCCTAGAATGAAACCACAGGTTTTCGTCCTTTTATGGTTTGATCATGAATATTTAGATGAGCTGTGCTCTGATTGGTTGGTTTACAACGAGCCAAGCTGCTGAGCAAAGACGCATCATAGCAACAAGCACTCACTCACTGAAACATCAGATTGTTGATATGGTAGGGGGAGCAGATGTCCTATTTTTCACTGACATGTCCTACTTTTGATACCTAAATAAATGTTTCGGGGGAATTTCAAAATCGTCAGGATTTTGGTCGACTGCAGTGCAGCAGAACCGAGCCGTGAGATCCGGGGCTGGTCTGGTGCAGGGAGCCAGAGGGGGACGCAGCGACCAAACCCGACCCAGTGGCGGTAGCCTTGACAACGGCACCCCCTTGCTACCATCACCGGGTCAGGTCGGTCCGTCCGTCCCGGTCCAGTCCAGTCAGCAGAACCTCATTTTCAACAGAGAAACTTCCTGCTTTGTAATTATTGTAGAAGTAAACCCAACTGTAGGCTAAACAGCTAAACTGATGTCTTCCATCTTCCTCTATTCATGTTCCTGGACCAGTCAACCAGCGGGCTGGTCTCTAGTTTAATTTCAGGGCGTGACAAAAGCAAAGGCCAGAACCAAATAAGGCAACATCCCCAAGTTTACGTCAACTCTGTGCTTCGTTTGGATTCGCCCGTTTTATGGCGGAAGTTTAGAATAGTGAGATTTGCAGAGAAAGGAGGAGTAGATGTAGTTTGAACTTCTCTGTACGTCCATTTCAGCCACTGAACTATCGTTATTCATCTATGACAATAGACACTCTGTTTGCATCTATGACCCCTTTTAATTTAGCTGTTTCAATCAACCGTTTCTAATGTGATACTTTAAAATTGTAATTAAAAAAAGCATGGAAACACTGTTTATTTTATTTATTGTTATAGGACCTGGTAGGGCTCTGGCTTGGTGAGATCAATGATTGGAAACAAAACAAATTTAAGACACTGGATGAGGAAGTTGTGTTTTTTTTTATACTAACAACTTATTTGGAGATGGTAAAAGAATATAAGGATGTATCACAGGAACCCAAACAGCCACTTTTAATGTCCTGCAGTCTGTTTTAGGATAGGAATTTCTACAAGAAGAAAAAAAACCAAAGGATGGTGATCAATCTTTGCTTAGAGCAGCAAAACGACTGAAGCATTTGGTAAGGAGGCAACAGCTATGATAAATATGCTCTCTGCTGTCAAACCCTGACAATCCCACCTCTGCCAGGACGGGTCTGAGACATAATACCAAATGCTGCCTTTGGATCTGAGGAGCTTTTAAAAATAAATAAAGCCTTCAAGCTAAGGAATTATAAACATACTGTCAGGGCAAAAGAGCCGAAACCCTTCAAACAATCTGTGGCATGAAAGATTTTTAACTTCTTTCTTTGCTTGACACAAACTGGAGTGTCAAACAACCGAGGTGGTGAACAGGGGGGGTGACAGAGATGAATGAATGAAAGACGACGAAGGCGGAGAGGTGAGAGTGAAGAGGATCAGAGGGGAATTTTCCATCCCTGAAGAAAAGACAAAGAAAACTAACTAATACCAACACAGCAGGCGAGAACATGTATTTATTCTAAATATGTATAAATAGCAGGTTCCTAAAGGTTCTATAAACTGGTTTTCCTTTTATCCAAAATGCTGCAGCCAGAGTTCTGATGAAAATTAAAAAGAGAGATCATATCTCTCCTATCCTGGCTTCTCTTCCTTGGCTTCCTGTTAAATCCAGAATAGAATTTAAAATCCTCCTTCTCACATATAAAGCCTTAAATGGCCAAGCTCCATCTGATATCAGAGATCTGATTGTTCCTTATGTTCCTAACAGAGCACTTCGCTCTCAATCTGCAGGTTTACTAGTGGTTCCTAGAATTTCTAAAAGTAGAATGGGAGGCAGATCTTTTAGTTATCAGGCTCCTCTCCTGTGGAACCAACTACCAGTTTTAGTCCGTGAGGCAGACACCCTGTCTACTTTTAAGGCTAGGCTTAAAACTTTCCTTTTTGATAAAGCTTCTAGTTAGAGTGGCTCAGGTTATCCTGATCTATCTCTATAGTTCTGCTGCTATAGGCTTAGACTGCTGGAGGACATAGGGACCCCTTTTTCATCATTCTGCTTCATTCTATCTCTATTCTCCCACTCTGCAGAATCTGTTAGTTCAATCTCTAACGTTCTGCTCTCTCTGCTTTTTCTCATAGTAGCTTCATCTGGTCTGTTCCTGTTTGGCTGTGACTCCATCCTGGAGAGAAATATCAGCTGTGCTGCTGCCATCAACACCTTTGTTTCTAGATGTTGGAGCTTGGCCTGTTTTCCAGTGTAGTCCTGTTTCTCTGACTGTGACTAACTGGATGTGCTCTCTTCATCCTCTGACATGGGAGCTGGCTCGGAGCTCGTCTGCCTGGCTGTGTGTTTCCTGGACGGGGCCGCCTGTGGAGCTGGTTGACAGTTGCCTTTTGTATCTATGCTTCTTTTTCTATGTCTGCTTCTGTCTCCTTGAACCCCAGTGGGCCTCAGCAGATGGCCGCTCACACTGAGCCTGGTTCTGCTGGAGGTTTCTTCCTGTTCAAAGGGAGTTTTTCCTCTCCACTGTCGCTACAAGCATGCTTAGTGTGAGGGATTGCTGAAGAGTCAATGAGTCGATGCAATCAGCTGGTTTTCCTTAGATAGAAAACTTTGAATCAATCTGACTGGATGAACTGGTTGAACTGGAAAGTGACCTGAGATGACATGATGTGAATTGGAGCTATAGAAATAAACTGAATAGAATTGAACTTTATAAGATACACAGGTAGGTCTGTTAGTGACTGAGTTAGAACAGAATCGAAATCTTATTTATTTAAAATACATACATATAAACAAAATAAAATAAGATAGTTGATACTGAATTTTACAAACATACATTTAAACAATCTACCCATGTGTCCTAAAATATGTTCAGAAATGAACAGACACACGAGTCTCATTCTAGGGCTATAAAATGAGGATGTCTGTTTAAAAACTCAAAGAGAAGAAGAAGATGTCAGGAGATGGGAAAGGAAAAAGAAACAATTTGAACAGAACAACAGGAGAGGCCAGAATCAGACGCAATCGGAGCTCTGGGATTGTCAAACAGACGCACCCCCGGCCACCATGGGGACAGGGACAACAGAAAGAGGAATCCTGGAGGCTGACCTCCTTTGGAACGTGCTTTCTGTCTCTGACTGCCTGTTAGCCTGGGCGTAACAATGCAGCCTGGGCCACGGCAACAGAGGCTGGCCTTTCAAAAGGCAAGACAGAAAGAAAGGGGTTTGCAAAGGTTGGTTTAAGCCAGCTAACTATCACAGCCTTCGAAAGACAAAACCCCAGAAAAAACCCCAGAGTCTTTGTGAAAATTATAAAACAAACATCTATGGTGAAACGGTAAATACGCCTTTAGAAGACGGTTTGGGGAAACTTCTCAGTTTCCAAAATTGATGACATGACCGGATGTGACCCTAAAAATGCCTTTTGAGATTCATCAAAAAATATTCTTTAAAGGAAAAGTTCAAACTTCTGAAAGCTCTTTAAATCTGAAATGATTCCATCCTGTTCAATAAATGATCAGTGTTTTTAATTCAGAGTCATTTTCATGTGAATGTGCTTTACTGGAGGCATCCATGTTTGTCAAAGAACACTACTGCCACCTACTGGTTAGTGACATTGTCACGGTGCGGTATCGGCTGTTGATCAAGTCCCAGTGCTGTATCTGGTGTTTGTCACAACGCGCTATTATCCAAGTCATCTTGAAAACATTCTTCTTCCAAATGTTGGCTACATATTACGGGTTTTTTCTCTGGACAGAAGTTCGATGGCAAATCCTCCCTCTTCAAGTTGGCGATCCAACGACCAACCCGTCCGTGGAGGATCAGGAATCAGAAAGGTGGAATAACTCTTTTTTTCACTTTTACCCGATGTATTCCAGCATCCAGCTGCCATGCACGTGGGCATTGTCAGTTTCACTATAGCTCTGGTGAATTTCAATGGTGAAGTCCTCTGGAAATCTTCAATAATTGTTGTTGATTGCAGATGTGTCCAGTAGTTCCCATTGATTTAGCTTGGAAAGCGGGGAGAATGGCGCTCAAGTGAATGTTATCTAATCATCTTATTTTAAGAGTAAAAGAACTCATTCCATTGGCAGATAATCATATTTACTTATTAAGATTAAAGGTAAATACACTTAATTTAAGAGATTTCTAGATCTTTTTTGCATTGTACATTAAGAAAGAAAAGAGCAAAACTAAGTTCATTCTAATCGCTCCTTGAAGTTGGATTTTTTTTTTACCTGCGGACTGAATTTCATCTTTATTTGCTAAATTCAGGCGCTTTAGGAACAGATTTAGTTTCAGGTTCCTAGCAGATCTTCATTAGCGTGTGGCGGCATGTAGACGAGGCTCACCGCATGACGCTGACTTCGTCTCCACCAGCTTCACTCTTCGAGTCTCGTTTCGGATCCTGCCGTCAGTCTTGTCCACGAGATGTGCAAGGTCATCGATGATTTCTGAGAAAAAAGGTAAGAAACGAAATTTAAAGTAACCATGATTGATAACTGTGTCAGACTGGAGTGATGCATTATTGTTCTTCTACTAAAAAGACAGGAATTGCTTCTCCTTGCTTTTCTCAGGCAGCGATTGCAAACCAGAGGTACTCCTAGCCCTAATGGTCCAGGCGTGCGTTGCAAAAGTACATGGAAATATTTTATTTCTAAGGTAGTAATTCTGCTTTGTGAATACCCAATAGAAGAATAAAACAAGCTTTTCATTAAGTTTTTCTTTGAGTTCACCTTCAAATTTCAGCGCTTAAAGAAAGACAGAAAGAAAGACAGAAAGACAAAGACAGACAGAAAGAAAGACGAAAAGACAGAAAGACGAAAAGAAAGACAGAAAGAAAGACAGAAAGAGCAAAATAAAGACAGAAAGAGGAAAAGAAAGACAGAAAGAAAGACGAAAAGAAAGACAGAAAGAAAGAAAGACAGAAAGAAAGGCAGAAAGAAAGAAAGACAAAGACAGAGAGAAAGAAAGACAGAAAGAAAGAAAGACAAAAAGATGAAAAGACAGAAAGACAAAAAGAAAGACAGAAATAAAGAAAGACAAAAAGACAGAAAGAAAGGCAGAAAGAAAGACAGAAAGACAAAGACAGAGAGAAAGAAAGACAGAAAGAAAGACGAAAAGAAAGACAGAAAGACGAAAAGACAGAAAGAAAGACAAAAAGAAAGACAGAAAGAAAGAGAGAAAGAAATACAGACAGAAAGAAAGACGAAAGAAAGACAGAAAGAGCAAAATAAAGACAGAAAGACGAAAAGAAAGACAGAAAGAAAGACGAAAGAAAGGCAGAAAGATGAAAAGAAAGACAGAAAGAAAGACGAAAGAAAGGCAGAAAGACGAAGAGAAAGACAGAAAGACGAAAAGACAGAAATAAAGACAGAAAGAAAGACGAAAAGACAGAAATAAAGACAGAAAGAAAGAAAGAAAGAAAGACGGAAAGAAAGACAGACAGAAAGAAGTTGAACATTTATCTATCATTTAGTGGGAACTTCTCTAATTATTTAGAGCCGTTATTCAATCACTTCTGACACCTTTTATTTTATTTTTTTACCCAAACTTTGGGATATTTATTAGATCTGCGTTAGCGATGATGTCAGACCCTTCTTAACCTATAGGCAGCGGCTTCTGGAGTCTCAGAGAGAAACTATTTTCTGATGCATTTCTATGTTTGTGAACGTTGGAACCGGCTCTGCTCTTCATTGTAGAAAATATTCCAAAAGTTTGAACCCGTTTAAATGAAGCCAGAGCTGCTGTGTCGACGTGGCATTTCCCACAATGCATCTCAACAATAACACGGCAGAAAACTAGGAGAAGATTCTACCTGTTATGGACACGTTATAAAATGTGACACTGCTTAGAGATGCAATAGGTTTATAGTATTTATAATCTCCATCTTAAACATGGATCCATGACTGCAACCTCTACAAATCTGATCAGAAAGACTAAAATATTCATTTAAAAAGCATTTTCTGTAAAAGATATTCCATCATTGCTGATTCCAACTGACAGAAAGTTATGAATAAACACATATGAGTGAAAACATTCAGCAACAACATGCCTCATTGCTCTTGTTATAAATCAGGAGATGCACAGCAGAACACGACTGACATTCAAAGGAGCACAAGTCTGTGTGTGGTGGGGGGGTGGGGGGGCTGTGAATTGGTGGCCTGTTTTTTATCTTTGCTCCCAGGGTGATGATGGGTGCTGTCCAGTAGCCTTCTGAATGGAAAACAGTTCAAATAAAAGGGGAAATGTGGCTAAAACAGCAGAAACGTTTAGTGCAAACGCAGGATTGTGTCAGATTCTAGTGAATTAATGTACATTGGAAACAGTCATTAAAAAACCGTTTCTGTCGCTCCATCGCAGAGGGAACCAATTACAAATCAGCAGGGTCCCAATAAAGAGGCACCAGTAAAGGTCTGGAGACGTTACAATACTTCAGACACTTAAAACAGAATTTAACACTGAAATAAAATGAGGTGTTTATGCATCCAAGTTATACATCAAATTTTTAAATAAAATTTATGTTTTTCCATTTTAAAACCTAATTTTTTTTATTATTTTTTTAAGCATATTTCACTAACCTCTTAACACCACCCTCATTTTGGGAAAATCTTGCCTATCTTGTATACCCAAATGGAAAAGCAATTAACTAGAAATCAGAGTTTAGACCTGGAAATATCAACACACCAGTTCTGTACATTTTAGCAGTTAGCTAGCAGTAATCAGTGGAATTTGCCTGTTTAGGCGCTACTAGTAAACAACAGAAGCTACGTGAAAACATTTGGACTCTGTTCGAATTCATGGGCTGCATCCTTCAAGGATGCGGTCTACCTAGACTGGATCCTCCAAGGACGCGGTCTACCTAGACTGGGTCTACCTAGACTGGATCCTCCAAGGACGCGGTCTACCTAAACTGGGTCTACCTAGACTGGATCCTCCAAGGACGCGGTCTACCTAGACTGGATCCTCCAAGGACGCGGTCTACCTAGACTGGGTCTACCTAGACTGGATCCTCCAAGGACGTGGTCTACCTAGACTGGATCCTCCAAGGACGCGGTCTACCTAGACTGGATCCTCCAAGGACGCGGTCTACCTAGACTGGATCCTCCAAGGACGCGGTCTACCTAAGCTGGGTCTACCTAGACTGGATCCTCCAAGGACGCGGTCTACCTAGACTGGGTCTACCTAGACTGGATCCTCCAAGGACGCGGTCTACCTAGACTGGATTCTCCAAGGACGCGGTCTACCTAGACTGGATCCTCCAAGGACGCGGTCTACCTAGACTGGATCCTCCAAGAACGCGGTCTACCTAGACAGGATCCTCCAAGAACACGGTCTACCTAGACTGGATCCTCCAAGGACGCGGTCTACCTAGACTGGATCTACCTAGACTGGATCCTCCAAGGACGCGGTCTACCTAAACTGGGTCTACCTAGACTGGATCCTCCAAGGACGCGGTCTACCTAGACTGGATCCTCCAAGGACGCGGTCTACCTAGACTGGGTCTACCTAGACTGGATCCTCCAAGGACGTGGTCTACCTAGACTGGATCCTCCAAGGACGCGGTCTACCTAGACTGGATCCTCCAAGGACGCGGTCTACCTAGACTGGATCCTCCAAGGTCGCAGTCTACCTAAGCTGGGTCTACCTAGACTGGATCCTCCAAGGACGCGGTCTACCTAGACTGGGTCTACCTAGACTGGATCCTCCAAGGACGCGGTCTACCTAGACTGGATTCTCCAAGGACGCGGTCTACCTAGACTGGATCCTCCAAGGACGCGGTCTACCTAGACTGGATCCTCCAAGAACGCGGTCTACCTAGACAGGATCCTCCAAGAACACGGTCTACCTAGACTGGATCCTCCAAGGACGCGGTCTACCTAGACTGGATCCTCCAAGGACGCGGTCTACCTAGACTGGATCCTCCAAGGACGCGGTCTACCTAGACTGGATCCTCCAAGGACGCGGTCTACCTAGACTGGATCCTCCAAGGACGCGGTCTACCTAGACTGGATCCTCCAAGGACGCGGTCTACCTAGACTGGATCCTCCAAGGACGTGGTCTACCTAGACTGGATCCTCCAAGGACGCGGTCTACCTAGACTGGGTCTACCTAGACTGGATCCTCCAAGGACGCGGTCTACCTAGACTGGATCCTCCAAGGACGCGGTCTACCTAGACAGGATCCTCCAAGGACGCGGTCTACCTAGACTGGATCCTCCAAGGACGCGGTCTACCTAGACTGGATCCTCCAAGGACGCGGTCTACCTAGACTGGATCCTCCAAGGACGCGGTCTACCTAGACAGGATCCTCCAAGGACGCGGTCTACCTAGACTGGATCCTCCAAGGACGCGGTCTACCTAGACTGGATCCTCCAAAGACGCGGTCTACCTAGACTGGATCCTCCAAGGACGCGGTCTACCTAGACAGGATCCTCCAAGGACGCGGTCTACCTAGACTGGATCCTCCAAGGACGCGGTCTACCTAGACAGGATCCTCCAAGGACGCGGTCTACCTAGACTGGATCCTCCAAGGACGCGGTCTACCTAGACTGGATCCTCCAAGGACTCGGTCTACCTAGACTGGATCCTCCAAGGACGCGGTCTACCTAGACTGGATCCTCCAAGGACGCGGTCTACCTAGACTGGATCCTCCAAGGACGCGGTCTACCTAGACTGGATCCTTCAAGGACGCGGTCTACCTAGACTGGATCCTCCAAGGACGCGGTCTACCTAGACTGGATCCTTCAAGGACGCAGTCTACCTAGACTGGATCCTCCAAGGACGCGGTCTACCTAGACTGGATCCTCCAAGGACGCGGTCTACCTAGACTGGATCCTTCAAGGACGCGGTCTACCTAGACTGGATCCTCCAAGGACGCTTTCTACCTAGACTGGATCCTCCAAGGACACGGTCTACCTAGACTGGATCCTTCAAGGACGCAGTCTACCTAGACTGGATCCTCCAAGGACGCGGTCTACCTAGACTGGATCCTCCAAAGACGCGGTGTACCTAGACTGGATCCTCCAAGGACGCGGTCTACCTAGACTGGATCCTTCAAGGACGCGGTCTACCTAGACTGGATCCTCCAAGGACTCGGTCTACCTAGACTGGATCCTCCAAGGACGCGGTCTACCTAGACAGGATCCTCCAAGGACGCGGTCTACCTAGACAGGATCCTCCAAGGACGCGGTCTACCTAGACTGGATCCTCCAAGGACGCGGTCTACCTAGACTGGATCCTCCAAGGACGCGGTCTACCTAGACTGGATCCTCCAAGGACGCGGTCTACCTAGACTGGATCCTCCAAGGACGCGGTCTACCTAGACTGGATCCTCCAAGGACGCGGTCTACCTAGACTGGATCCTCCAAGGACGCGGTCTACCTAGACTGGATCCTCCAAGGACGTGGTCTACCTAGACTGGATCCTCCAAGGACGCGGTCTACCTAGACTGG